TTGTGATATTTGTCCTCTTTATTCGTCCCCGAATTTTTTTTTTCTAATACCAAGTGTCCCTTTTGTTCCCATTTCCCTTAGCACTTCCTTGTTACTCACATGTTCCGCCCATGGTATTCTCAGCATCCTTCTGTAGAACCGTATCTTTGATGGTTAAAGTCTCTTCTTCTCATGCAAGAAAATTGTCTCGTATTCACTGCCAGATAAGAGGATTGATATTACATATAGAACAATATTTTCTTTATTTCTAACTAAATTCCCCTGTTTCTTCATAATTTGGTTAGCTTTTGGAAGGTATCTTTTGCTATTCGAGAAATGCAACTTCGGATTTCGGGGTCATATTTTTCGCTGTCTGTTAAAATACTTCCCAAATAATTAAACTTCTGTATTTACTTGATTCTAATATTTCCAATACGTAACTCGCATTTTTTCGGGGGTGCAACGCATGCTGTTGTCTATATATTCTTTCATCAAACGTCTAAGGAGTAGTCCTTTCTTCTTGATTTCCTTTACCACCTTGTCTAGGCGTTCCTGCAGTTCTAGTTTTTTTTTTCTATCTGCCCTCAACACGGTAAATTATTAGTCATCTCTTTCGATTATATATTTGTAATTCATTTGGCCTTCATAGGTTTTAGTCCCATAATATAGAGCCCTTTGTTATCTATTATACAGGATGTTGCAAAATATTTGATATCATTTGAGATGTAAATATCTTAGTGACAACATAGTTTTGGCAAAGGAAACTAAACAGATTTATTTTTTAGCGAAATAAGATTTATTCATCAAGATTTGAATGAGAAACACAAAGGTATGTGGATTGCATGAACGATTTCACAAGTTTTTAATATGCGCACGGCTCGACTATCTCTTTCGATACAGGTGGTCGTCTAGATCATTTTCGCCCTGCACAGCCAGCCTTCCTCTTTGAATTTGCATTGCATTTGGTGCATTGTTAGCGAATTCTGTCACAAATATAAGCTGTACAGTCTTGTTTGTCTTTGATCGAGCATACTCTAGCAAGCAAAATGACCTTTCTTTTACAGTGAATGACATTTCTATATCGTAAAAGAAAAACTAAATAAACATTAAAAATAGAATTCTGAGTTCTTTCTATACATGCTGTTAAAATTTGAGATAATTTAGAAGAGAATTAGTCAAGTTAGCAGAATATGAAATGATATTGTTTCTGAAACAACCTTTTACCATAAAGTGATAGACAATCTAAAGAATATATTTGCATTCTGATAAACTCATAAGAGAAGTACATCAGGTCAGAATAAACTAAACTTATTTCATACTTTATCAATAGGTTCTTGACCAATGATTCTGAACCGCCGTGCCGCGCCACACTAGTGTGTCACGTGATCCTCTTAAGTGTGACGCGAAATATTGTCACGGTATACATATACGTCTTTATGGAAGTAGTAATCGTACAGTGTTAGTATTTGAATAAATTAATAAGTATAAAACTTTTTATTCCACATTAGCTAAAAAGGCCTTATCAGTTTTATTGCAATTTTCTACTTCTTATTTATGTGAATTAGGTTTCTCAACCCTAAATAATATTTTAAAAAAAATAAGAAGCGAGAAAGCTTACGCTCAGATGAAGACAAAATGAAAGTCTGCTCATCGGATATTCGACCAAACATTGAAAAAATAACAAAAAAACACCAGGCACAGATTCCACACTAAATAAGCTGCACAAATAGTTGAGTAGAAATATTGAAATAAATTCATATTTTCGCGTTTATTTTTTTTTAATCTATGGTTTTATTTTATAATATTTAAATGTATAACCTTTAAAAAAAATTTCTAAGCGTGCCGTGATATTTTCATTTGTTTCTAGGTTTTCCATGGCTTAAAAAAATTGAAAAAAATGTCCTAGACAAACATATTCCCGCCGATCGATATTCCATTTCTATAGCCTTGCTTAAGAGAAAATATAGTCTAATAAATTTTTGAATTCTTGTACGTCTTCTGAATAATGCATATCTTTGTAACGATGCGATTTTATTGTGTGGTGGGGGGTAATCAATTACGTCCCAAGTAAGGTAGTAAAAGGCAGTGGAAGAATTAGGAAACAGAAACATTAATAATGAGCGGTAAGAGAAAAGAGTAATCAGGAGTAGAGTACGCAGCGATTGACATTGCATTTAAATCTTTATTAATGTTGGCTGGAAAGCATAGAGCCGGAAGAGAATTCTACGAACGAGAAGTGCGAGAAAAGAAACTATTATCATAGAACTTGCGGTTACATCTAGCCAGCTCAATTGTAAATTGATGAGATCTCGACTCTAGTCTAGTACTGCGCTTAAATTCATAAAATCTAGGTACCACAGCGAAGAGCTCATGGGAACAATTACCATAAAAGTATTTATAGAAAAAGACACAGAGCGGCAACCTTACGGCATTGAGAAAGTGACTGAAACGGAGCTGCCAGATCAAGACCGATAATATTGCTGATTCTTCTTTGGATTTTATCACGGAGCTCAAGGTAAATGGCACAAGCACCGGACCATATGTGACAGCAATATTCAAAGCATGAACGAATTGTAGACTTATAGATATGTATGATGGATTCTGAGGAGAAAATTGTTTTGCACGACACAGTGAACCAACCTTCTTTGTAGCTGACAATAGCAATGGATTCAATATTCAGCTGAAAACGTTAGCCCGAGAAGGTGCAACGAGTCACTTTCCTGGAGGTTAGCATTACTCATGTTAACTCGATTAGTCATTAGAATTTTCTAATCCTTAAGTGGGAGATTAAATTGAATCAATCGCTAGGTCTTCTGCTAGGAAAGTTGGTTCCGGTGTCGTGTTCGACAATGTTTCTCGCCGCAATCCATCTTTATAAGTTTACCATTCGTCAATGCATTGAATATTTCTGTCATATCTGAGCTAGTGCTACTGCTATGTATTTATGGGTACTTGACAAAATCCAAAGAAGATTCTGCAACATTATCGATCATGACCTGGCACTTTTCTGTCGCCGTTACGTAGCTTCGCTGTGCATTTTTTATAAATATTTTTATGATAATTGTTCTGATGAGCTCTCCTCTTTGGTACCACGACTTTATGAATTTAAGTGTAGTACTAGATTGGCAGTTCGGTCTCATCATTCTACTTTTGAAATTGCTCGATGCTAACAGTTTATTCTCGAGCATGTCTCGCTTGTGGAACTCTTTTCCGACTTCTTACGTTCCAGTCAATGTTGATCATCAAAGATTTAAATACAATGCCAAATTATCATTATCTGTCTCCTTGAATTCTGTTCTTTTACTGTCCTCTTTCATTAATAATGTTTTTTTTATATTCTTTCACACTAAATAACCGCTTGCGTCTTAGTGAAATTATCGCCTTGCTTGTGGTGAAATGATGTTTTTAAAGTCCAAAGAGAATTGCCATTACACAATCTCCAGCAATGACCAACGGATCTTCTGTTGTGATCAGGCAAATACATGAAATAAAAGTAGCCAAAAGAAAAACACATATCAGACACGGTGCATTTCGCTGTTACAACAAACTGAAAGAAAATCCCGTGTGGATGCTTCCTTGAACACTACAATCTTAACTTCTTCAAGTCTATAGTCAATCGCTATCTATCCTTCTTATGTTCATAATCTCCACTTCCTTTTACCCCCTCTTATATTCATATCACATATCACATTCAGTAACCTTCTACCATAAGTGGTTCTTGAGCCTTGTATTGGATGAACTTTAGTATAAAAAAAGACTTCTCCAGAACTCTCGTCAGTATTCAAATTTACTATTAAGAGGAAAAATATGGAATTATCAAGGGCACAAGTGTAGACCAACTAGTAAAAACCAAATTTACTTAGTAGCAATGATCTTGCGAGTCTATCTTACTAATCAGTAATCCGAAATATATACTGTATGTAAGATAGTCTCGGTATGTAAGATAGTGTAAAATATTAGCGAGTCCATTAGTATCCAGCTTACAAATTGATCTACAAGACCTACTTGCATGTGTTCCAGTAATCATTGCAGTTGTATCCGTTTAGAGAGGAACTTTTCTTTGTCAGTCATCATTTTTTGTGTGTATACACACACACACACACATATACATATATATATATATATATATATATATATATATATTCATTTCGTTGTTGGAATTGTTACCTGATGATCCGGAGTCCTTTAAAAAGGATTTTGGTGAAACAAATTATTTGTAATGGTACCTTAAAGTAGTCTGTTTTTTTCATTAAATATTAGCTCTGTATTCACATTGAGCTCTCAGGATTTCATCCTCCTTGGAATTACCCATTCGGTTTACCAAGTTCTTCGTAACTTAACTATATATATATATATATATATATATATATATATATATATATATATATATATAGGATATAACAGCAAAATTGTCCAAATCATTGTAACTATATGGAAAAATTGGCCATCCCACAAAATGTTTAATAACTAAAAAACCACTAAGCTAATTGAATTTCCTCTTTTCATGTTTTCAGATAAGTAGTTTAGCCATCTTGACACCATTTGTCGTAAGAATCACCGTAAAGCCCTTTGAGTTATTCAGCTACAAAGAGGACATGTGAAAATCGTTTTGTGTCAGCTCCACTATGTCTTCCCAACTGAGCAATGATCATTCAAGCCTTCAATTATCGCACCAACATTCATACTCTGGCTTCCATCTTCAAAGTCCATTCAAGAACCAACTAGAGAAAGATGAATAAGTTTAAAAAAGAAGGAAAAATAGAGAGAAAAACTGAATCAGGAAATCACAACAGCAAGAAGCATATCGTATTACAGCTAAATTTTGGTGTTACACCCGATATATATATATATATATATATATATATATATATTGTTACGAACCCCGATTTAAATTTATTATAAAAAATATACCATTGCTTATATTTTAGAAGCATTCTAAAATAAAGAGGCCAGTACTTGCAGAAAATGTAAAGATAGTAAACCCAAAGAGCTAGGTAGACTTAGTGGCAACAAGGATTGACCAGAGTGTACCCTTTCCTTCTCTTTTGGTCAAGGTGTTGACAGCATGATTTACACGGATAGATTCCAGTTGGGAGAAGTTGAAACACTTTAAACTAAACTTTCTCTGGCCCTGAAGATGAGAGAGAGGGTCGATGACCTCATTCCATCCACAATGGGAAAAAGTTAGTATTTTTGAAAATTGACCACATGACAAGAAGAAAACGGAAACGAATAGGTAAACGAAAAAGTTAGTCTTGACCGGGCCTGCAGGCCGGTAGGATGTTTGGCAAATGTCTCGGCATATGGGCCGAAAAGATGTGTTTGTGAAATTGTGAAGAGAATTGGTCTCCCAGTCGAATGGATGGACCCGTTTGACGACGTATGCGGAACGCCGCTATATCGAAGAGAAAGAAAGCAGTTTCAACGATCCCCAAGCCCTTAAACAAAGCACGAGAGGGAAAAGAAAGAAAGAAAGAAAGAAAGAAAGAAAGAAAGAAAGAACAGACCATCTCGAGTGAGAATGCTGTTATACCAAGACGAAAGAGAGAGGGAACGCATTTTCTGCTTAATCGTCAGCCAAGCCCCTAGACGACGAAAAGAGAAAGAGAGGAAGTAAGAGAAGACCTCAAAAAGAGACCCTTATAAAAAGAAAGAAAAAAGAAAAAGAAAAGAAGTAGATATAATAAGAGATATTATTAGTAGAAAAGGACTTTATTTTGAGTTAAGTTTGTAGTTTTTCTTGTGCTCCGTTTTTGCTTAAATGTACCTCTTTTTCATGTTTGTACTTTCATGCAAATTTTGAATGAAATCTTTTATTACATGTTCCTTTCCACATTGTCTTAAAATGTTGATGTTTTGTGAATCCGTGCAGGCATAGCACATGTTCTATAGATCCGTGGCAGTATGGCACAAGGCCATACGCTGATTTTTATTTTACCTTTCTTAGAGGATGCTCTCCTCCCACTATTTTGTCCACAATGTTTAAATGTTTATTCTTGACATATCGTCATTTTTGTTTTGCCCGTTTTTTTTTATTTTTATCTTTTCCACGATTCCATGTTTGTTAATAAATTTATATTCCTTGTCTCCATTGTTGTTTGTCGCCTATCGTGTTTGTTCCTCAATCGATTCCGCCCGGCCGTCTCTGATCAATCGGAAAGAAACCCTTGGGAAAGAAATATATTTTACAAAAAAAAAATCTAAAATGTAAAAAAAAACAAAATAACACAGATTACGATCCTCCTCTCTCTTCGCTATCGATAAGGTTGGAGAAAGGAAGGAGGGGGGTTCGTAATAGAATATATATATATATATATATATATATATATATATATATATATATGTGTGTGTGTGTGTGTGTGTGTGTGTGTGTGTGTGTGTGTGTGTGTGTGTGTGTTCACTTTCTAGCTGAGATCTACGTTTGCATCTCACCATCGTCAATTGGGTTATATTGGTCTGGAAAGTGCTTAAAAACTATATCACAGTTTAGCACAAGCGTTTTGAGTGAAATTGGCTACATGGAACCGTTCGGAAGACGTTTAGGTTTCAGCTAGCACGAAATCAAAAATCATCGTGACCGATTTTTTGAGCGTGTTGACATTTGTTTTAAAAGATTGATCACGCCAGATTATACGCTCTATCTCAGACACTGTAACAGCATAGAATAGTCGCATAATAAGCCATAGATGAATTCTGTGGGTTAAGCAGATGTCTGTAATAGGGATTTCCTGGTTGCCCTGGCAGACAGGTGTGCTCGGAAGCGAGGAAACATCACACACACACACTTATATATATATATATATATATATATATATATATATATATATATATATATATATATCGATTTATAACAATAAAATTGTCAAAGGCACAGACGTGATTGGACATAGATTCTGACATTACAATATTAATTCTGCAATTAGATGGTCATTATAATATTAATTCTGTAATTAGATGGTTATCATAATATCAATTCTGCAATTAGATTGACGTTATATTATTTATTCTGTAATTAGATGGCCATTATAATATCACTTCTTTAATTAGATGGTCATTATAATATCAATTCTGCAATTAGATGGTCATTATAATATTATTTCTGTAATTATGCAGCCGATAATATATATTGCGAATCAAGAGGATATTGCAATATTGGATATTTGAAAGGAGACCGTATTCAATATTAATATACAATTGCCACATAAGGCGTTCTATTCACGAGAGATATATGAATGTGCCAATTAATCAAGGTAAGTGGTGTAGTGGCATTAAATTTATCCTATATCTACATTCTTTATCAGAAATTTATTCCTATGCTTGCAGACGAACCTAAGATCTCACCTACTATTTAGCATTCTATCACCACCCATGTTTTACAAGATCGTCAGAGGAAAGAAGAGGGTAAGTCAGATCACATAGTTGAGTATGAGTTATTGAGTATCGAGCGCGTGTTTGGCGGTAAGTGTAATAGATTTATGGGCGAAAAACCGAATGTCAATTCCACTCACTTCTGTATCATTCACTTCGTACTAATAGCCTTGGAAAAAGGTATGAAATACTCTTCCTCTAACTATGGGTTCAATAACATGGGAGACTGGACTCTCTTGTCTTAAAGCGGAAACAGGGCTTGGAGAAGAAAAACTAAAAAAAAATAACAGCCTAGTGAGAGTTGGACTCCATCAGGCCATCTTACCCTAGAGATACCACTGTTGCCATGGCTACAGTAAATGTGGTGCATTGTCGACCTTAATAAATTACGGGACACACAAATGCATCGAAATTAGTGTATATTCAATACATCTTCACCTTAACAAAGCTCTTTCGAAAGATGAAACATGTAATATAATTTTTTGTTCAATTTTATCATTCAATTGCTCAATATTAGTTTGATATATAATTGATTGATTGATTGATTGAGTGAGTGAGTGAGTGAGTTAGTGAGTGAGTGAGTGAGTGAGTGATTCGTTTTCTATGGTTAATCAACACTTTCAAGAATATTCAAAGCCAGGAAAATATTTTTAGATTGTAAGAATTTTTATTTTGAAGTAATAAAGATTTAATGATGCAAGTCTTACTAATTAACCCATATGGGGCAGAATAGGTGGATTTATGCGTTTCTCAAGGGTATTTGCGCGTAAGTAAATATAACGAACCAAATAGAATTGCATCTCGGCTTTCTGATTAACAATTCCGAATCATTATCCATTACACCACCCGCACATCCAAGCTTACAGCGCCTGCTATTTCCAAGCGGTCACCCATCTAGGTACTGACCAGGATCGGCGTGGCTTAATATCGGTGATTGAAAGTGATGTATCGATATGCAGTTTCATATATAAGGTTGTATATCACAGTTTTGAATATACGCTCTTTTAGCGCTAGAGGGCGTCGTCATTGATGTTCTGGAGATGGATCATTGGGCAGTTTCGGGTCTTTCAAACATCATACTGACCTCACCAAATCGAACCCCTCAGAGTTGATCAGACTCTGAAACACCCTCTAAAAAATGCTTGTAGACACTGACTTCTATAAATATACCCCGTTATCATACATTTGATTGGAGATTGACCAACAGCCAATCGCAACGGTGCGAAATCTATTTAAGCCGTTTACGGGTGATTTTTTTTCTTTTTTTCATATATATATATATATATATATATATATATATATATATATAGAGAGAGAGAGAGAGAGAGAGAGAGAGATTATATCAGATAGAAAAGCAAGAGTGTTTACATATGTGAATGTCAGCAGGTAATAGAAAATATAGCTATTTGTCATTCTCACAACTGAATATATGAACTTGTGAGCCTTCACCACATGTCGATAAGCACTAGTCGTTAAGGAGGCAACATTTCCAATCTTTTTTATCGTTGGTGGTAAAAATCAGTCCGCCTGCCCAACTCTTCGTCCGCCAGTACATACACGCATAGATTCTCTCTCTTTCTCTCTCTCTCTCTCTCTCTCTCTCTCTCTCTCTCTCTCTAGCACGCACATATGCACACAAACACCTCCTTATCACCATATATTATTATTATTATTATTGTTGTTATTGCTGTTTAATCTTTCTGGTGTCCTTACAGGTTTTTTTTTTCATTTTGGGGGGACTGATTGTGTGGAGAGGTTCGTTACATTAATTTATGAAGAAATACCCTTGGGAAAAGTATAAATCAATCTCCTTCTCCCAGCTATGGATTAAATAGTAGAATTTGTATATGGAAAAATCATTGTTATTTCTCTCAAAAAATATTAATGCAAAACAAATACTACTGATAATCCAAAATATTTTTCGGCTTTAATTGTTGATAAGCAAAACAAAAGTGCGTGGAAAAATTGTCCATGATGCTTATCGTCCCGAATTTCATTGAATGATTCTTTTTTTTACGGATTATCAACTCTTTGTAGGTCATTTAAAGCCATAGGTCGGTGGAGAAAAGGTTGGATCATAACTTTTCCCAATGGGGTTTGCGTGTAAATGAATATAATGAACCCAACTAGAATTGGAACTCGGCACATCGATTAACAATTCCGAGCCATTATTCATTACACCACCTGCACATCCATGCCTAAAACACTTGGTATTCCCAAGCGGTCACCCATCTAAGTACTGACGTTGCTTAACTTCGTACAACGTCAAAGTGATGGAGAACAATGCGACAGGACCAGAAGAGGTTATCATAAAGATGTTAAATGAAATGTAGAACAAATATCGAATGACCAGTTTTCATACCAAAGAAACCAGATGCACGCGGACTTAATCGGACAGTCCGATTGATGGACCACATAACAAAACTAATAATTATGATTCAAATGAATACAGATCGTAGCAGAATTAGCCCGAGAAAGAATAATCTAATTTTGTTTAAGCCCCGGGAAAAGAAATGCAATTTTCAGGCTCAGAATGCTGCCGAAATGGACATTAGAAACAGAAAAACCTGTGTTTCATAAGCTGCACAAAAGCATTCTATGAATCACAACAGGAAGTAATTTTTGAAATTTTAAGAAAACTTGATCTAGACGGAAAGAATATGCAAATAATTTATAATTTAGATGAAAATAAAAAAAAAAGTATACGAATAAAGAACAAGTTAAATTCATTTAGAGGAGCGCAAAAGGATATGCTTCTTTTTTTTCACCGAATTGATATAACATTTGCAGCAACATAATTCTAAGAGAATTTGATGATTAACCAAGATTTTTTTTTGTTTTTGTTGAACATAGAGATAACCACAGATTGCTATGAATATATAAAAAATGTTGATGGCGAATTTAGAAGGTGGAAAATATCATCGTTGAAAGGACTAAATATAAAGAATAGGAAATTGTGAGCAAAACAGACACAACAAAATGCTATTTACTCGTAGCAAAATCAAAGAAATATGAAAATTCTACTATCTGATTATTACAATAAGAAATAACGAAACAAAAACGATTTTCAGCTAAAAATTCAGTCTGCCACTTTTTGAGAAAGAAAGCTCTTAAAATTTTAATTCGCAAATAACATGCAAAAAAAGCGAAAACACATATACATTATATATATATATATATATATATATATA